TGCTTGCTAAGCCCACACTCTACCCCTAAACTATACTCTCTGCCCCATTCAGTGATACACAGTTAGAGTGGTTTGCCTGGAGTCTGATTATACTTCCTTTTGAGGCTACAAATTAAAGGTTTTCATTGAGAGGCCATACTTTTTTTAAAAGATATATATTTTTTCATTATTAATTAAAGGAGATCTTTTTAAAGTTTAAAACCTCATTTAATTTTATGTCTTATAGGGTTTATACGGAGTACAATATTGTATAACTGTATTAATTCAACTATAAACCTAAAAATGTACAGCCAATTTTGAAAGAGATGCATCTTAGCTCAGGAAAATGTTATTGAATATGTCAATGCTGTCTGTTGTGATGAAATGCTTCTTCTAATTATATGTTTATTAAATAAATAATTTTAAAAAGATACATATATATTTTATTGCCAACAACTTTCATTAAACTTCTTAGTCTAGTGTTAGAGATCCCCAAAAGCCTGATGGGGAGGGAGCACAGTTGGTGTGACAGTCTTGGTTGTTTATATCTTTTCTATTCTTCTGCTGGTAACTGTTGAAGAGAATTTTTTTCCTTTTTCAGTTGGAAGAGTGAAATTAGAAGAAGGGGCTTTAAAAACCAACAAAAAAAGATGCTTTTCAAATGTTTCTACACAATTATGCATGATAGGAAGGGAGTCATGGTTCTCCCCCTGTAAGGGCCTACTACAAGCTTACCTGTCCCTGACATCTGCCACAGGGGATATTTGCTCTGTTAGGAATGTGTGTAATAATGTGTCAGATCAGGAGAACATAGCATCCTGCCTTGGTTGTTGTCATCACAGTCACCAGAACCATTGGTTGCACCTAGCCAGATTCTAGCAGCATCAATAGTAAATGCGGCTCTTAAGGTTTAAGACCAGATTCAAAGCAAGCTTGAGAAAGGATGACTTCCTGTCTTTTTTGGTGGAGCCTAGGAGTCCAGACAAGCATTCTACCACTGAGCTGTACCCTCAGCTCCTGATGGAGGGTTTTGTTCAAAGGATGATTTAATAGGCTGTTTTTGATACCCATAGGTGGAAAATGAAGAAACTTTTTTTTTTAAATGAGGAAACTTCTTAAGGAGAAATTACATGTTCACTTAAAAAAAAAATTTCTGAGCTGGGCTATGACTCAATTGGTAGAGTATTTGCCTACCATGCACGAGGCCCTCATCCACACGACTTCCAACACTGAATAAAACCACTTGTGGAGGTAAAGGTGCCTCATGAGTTGGAGACGACACAAACACATCACTATTAAACCTTTCTTTTGTTTATCCCTGAGAGCTCATGTCAATGTCACAACATAAAATATAGTGAAATGGTGAGAAAGAGCATCCCCTTAGAGGGTTCTTAGTCTCGTTCATAAAAGAATTTAAGAATGGGCCAGAATGGAAGCTTTTGGGACAATTTTAGTAGAATTTTAAGGAAAATCCTCAGGGCAGGCAAGCTGGTCATCTCAGTAGCTGCCTTGGGGAATAAAATGGAGGGGAGAAGGAAAGAAATTAATGAAGTCTGCAGGTTAGAGCCTGCATGGAGGTCAGACACGTGGCTGACTGGCAGCCATGTGACTGGGAGAAGGAAGCTTTAGAGAAAAAGTAAAGAAATACAAGATGCTAGGGCAGCCCAAAGCCTTAGAAAAAGCATTTTTAGAAAAGGGATGTGAAGAAGAAAAGGGAGATTACGCTTTTCTGAAGAATTCAGAAAAGTAAGCAGGCTTAACAGAGATCTACATGTCTGGCTGGGTCCAGAAGCAGTACACTAGGAGGCAGGATTCTAGGCAGGAAAAACTCACTCTCTCATTAACGCACTAGGTATTCCACCCATCTATTTAGCATAGCTTCTGAACCCGCCTTCCTAGGGGTGGTCCTATGACCAGATGATTGACCAGTGAAACGAGATTTTGTATTCTTGACCAGTTAAACTTAAGGGGCTCTTTGCTATTCTAACAATATTGCCAACTTTAAAAGTGGTGGCACATGCCTGTAGTCCCAGCACTTGGGAGGCAGAGGCAGGCGGATCTCTGAGTTCAAGGCCAGCCTGGTCTACATAGTGAGTTCCAGGACAGCTCAGGCTACAGGGAGACCCTGTCTCAAAAAGACCAAAAAAAAAAAAAAAGTCCCACAATCTTAAAAATTCAATTTTAAAAGTCCAGTGTCATCTTTAACTTCAGGCTCTTGTAAAATCTAAAATAAATCACATATTTTCTTATTCCAACAGGGAAGAATCAGGGCACAGTTACAGTCAAATCAAAGGAAAAGTAAAATCCAACATTATGAAAGCTCAGTATTCAATATCTAGATTCCAGTTCATGATCTGGGTTCCAAATGGCTTGTACAGTCTCACTTCTCTGCCTCTGCCATCTGCAGCACACATACAGCTTGTCTGGTGGGCTCACACCAGTACCACTTCATACCTGCTGCTCTCCTTGGTGGTCCTCCTAGCATATCCACTGTGTTGGGGTCTTCACTGCAACAGAGGCTGTACCCTCACCAACGGCCTCCTGGCCTCTGCAGGGACTCCAATCTTACCACATGATGCTAAGCCTCAGCTGTTCTCCATGACCCCTTTAATCATGCATGGGGTTTCTACTGCAGCTGAGGCTGCATCTTCACCAGTGGCCTCTCCTGGCTGTCACGGTATCAGTTTTCAGCTTTTCTTCAGGACCCTTTCAATCCTGTAATTTTCATGCCACAAAAGCAGTACCATGTGAGAGACTTTTGCACATTACAGGTTTGGCTGCCGGCTTGAGATGCAGCCTTGGCCCCTCTGGACCACAGCTTTTGTGGGCTTACCCAGAGGAAATACTGCCCAGAAGATTTGCCTCAAGGATGTTGGTCTCATCACAGCTGATTTTTCAGCTCCAGCTGACCAGACATCTTATGTCCCAGTAAAGCTCGATTCTTAATTCAGGTATATCACAGGAATGGCTCTGTTAATCTTTGCTTCCCCCTGATATGTCCCAAGCCAGGCTGCCTTCCACCATTTGCATTTCTTTCAGCTTTCTTCCAGGATGCCACAGAATAGCCCATTAAGCTAAAACTCAATGGCCTTTCCAGTCCCAAACACTCAATGGGCTTTTGGGTCCCAAACTCCAAAACTTCCACAATTCTTCCAATAGCAACAGTCCACTCTCTGGCATTAAATTCTGTTCTAGTTTGCTTTCTGTCGCTATGATAAAACACCAAAACCAACTTATGGAGGAAAGAGTTTATTTCAGCTTACAATTACCAGGTCACAATCCATTAGTAAAGGAAATCAGGGCGGGAACTGAAGCAGAGGAGGGATGCTGCTTACTGACTTGCTTCCCTGGCTTACTCAGCTACCTTTTGTCCACAGCAAGTTGAGCCCTCTTATATCATTTAACAAGAAAATGCCCCACAGACATGTCCACAGATAAGTCTGATAGAGAACTTCCTCAGTTGAGATTCCCTCTTCATAGATGACTAGTTTGTGTCAAATTGACAAAAACTAACCAGCACAGAGGTTGTGCAGGAATCTTCAGTACAACATCCAGGTTGGAAATGGTGTGTTGAAATGATTGCAACTTAAAAAAAAACAATCCACATACTTCTAGGTATATAAATGAGATTTAGCTGTGGTGGTTAACCGTAGACTAGCTATTCTCATTTTGAATATGAGATCATCATTGTTATCTATGAAGGGTAAAGCTAGTGAGGTAAAAGTAAAAATTATTTACTTTAAAGTTCACTTAATGACACAAACTGAAGAATAACTGTTGTGTACTGTGCTGTGATACGAACATACTAGGGAACCTTAACATGCAAATGTAATCATGGTCTCCACCCCAGTCCATGTGAAAAGTATGCAGAACCTAGAACAAGAATCAGACTGTGGTTCAAGTCAGTATACTAGCTTGTGTTTGCATGTTACTTTAAAAAGAAAAACTCAGATTAGTAGCTTTTCCTTTTGTGTATACCAGGATTGACGGTTACATTTCATTAAAGGTACATTTTTATAGTATGCAGCAAATTTGAGAAATGTGTAACCTCTGTGCTGGTTAGGTTTGTAGATTTGACACAAACTCATAATTAACCCATGTTACATCCCAAAGAGTGCTTGCTGGTTTAGAATATTAAATGTGGTACATGATATTTATTGAAATACTTCATTTTGTGTTTCTCTTTATATGTACAGTTTTGGCCATTTTAATATTTAAATAGATTCTGGCAATACCTCACTTTGTTCTGTAAACTGTAACTGCATATAGAAACTTTGAGGCTTTCGAAGTATGTTCCATCTTGACAAGTCCCTTTTAATGCACTATGTGCTACAGTGGTACACTTGATCAGTTCAATGCTTTCATAAAACATCTTCCTGTGGAAAAAGATCCAGCAGCATATTTTTGCCTTAAACTCTAACTGTAATTCATGGGCCATTCAGTAATTGAATATTTGCCTACCTTGCTGGTATATCAGTAAAACATAGGGTGAGCGTTGTGGTGTTGTAAGATTTTATGTTAAATTGAAGATGCTGTAGAATAAAAATATAGAAATCATTCTGTTTATATTATTTTTGTGCTGTTTCAAATAAAGCTACTTTTCAGTATACAACTTACATGAGTTGGTTCTTTCCTTCTCCTGTGGGCTCCAGGGTTTAGCTCAGGTTGCCAGGCTTGTTGTCATATGCCTTTACCTACTGTGCGACTTCACTGGCCCAAGTTGTTTACTGTGAGGTGCTTCGAAAGTTTGGTGCCTGCCATCCTCATCTGATCCATGTGCTACTAGCTCACAGTGGGTGTGTATACTTGCTTAGGTGTATTGTTTTTAAGAACTCTGTAGTGTTTATTTTTTTATTTCTGGGTACAGATGATTACAGGGATTGGGAGGGTGATTCTTCTTCGCCGTTCTTCGTTAAGGTTGAAGTCAAGTCATAAGGGATACTTTCTTGTGCCTGAAAACTTACTGTGGTATATGTATCAGACAGCCTATTTAAGTTTTTCTTTAATTTTTTTTCCCCCAGGAAATTTGGTGAGCGGCCTCCACCTAAACGACTCACTAGGTAAGCATTGTATTAGCCTTTCATATATTGAATATACATATAGCTCCTGTCATTTTAGAAACTATATGAAGTGCTCTTAGAAATCATTCATATATTGGTACCTACATTATAAACTTATTACTACATTTCCACCCTCCATTCCCTCCTCTCTAAGAAACAAAACAGGAATAAGAGAATATACTTTAAAAGGAAAAATGAAGCCCTTTCAGAAATTAATCTTAAGTAATATATAGCAAAAATAACAGCTACAACTGTGTTAATCCAATCACAATTTGATATTGAAGGGAAAGGCTTGAAAGAGTTAATAAATGCTTACAGCAACACTGCTTTAAGCATTTACAGAAAACAAGATTTACTAATTTTCATGAGAATATGGACATACTATGTCTAATTATGTAAGTTAATTTTGCAGTGTACAGACTGAATCAGAGATGTTACATTTTAAAGAATTAATCTGAAAACAGAAAAAAAAATTGTCTTAAGTTAAAAGTTGTAAAACAAAGGAAACCCAGTAGTTCTAGAGCTCCAGCCCTCATTGTTAACTATCTTTTAAAAATATTTTATCATTTTTATTTTATGTGTATGAATGTATCGTCTGCATGTATGTAAGTGCACCCGTGTTGTGCAATGCCCGTGGAGTCAGAAGAGGGTGTTGAATTCCCCTGGAACTGGAATTAAGGATAGTTGTTACCGGCTGTTAACCGTCATGTGGGTGCTGGGAATCAAACCCAGGTCTTCTTCAAGAGTAGTCAGTGCTCTTAACCATCTCTCCAGCCCTGTTAGCTATCTTTTTAATCTTCCAAGAAAATTGTTTGCGTGTGTGTGTGTACATGCGCGTGCAGGTGTTCTTTTTAACCTGAAGTGGGATCACATTCTGCCATTGTTCTTCATCCTCGAACCTCACAGTGTATTATGTCATCATAAACCTCCAGAGTGCTCATTAGGCTCTGTGGTGTTCTGTTGTATTCACATCGTTCTTTAATGTTTCATATTGATTGGCTATGTAGGTTATTACCAAATTGTTACTGTTAAATAATTGTTGCACTTAAGGAATGATGGTAACCTGCCAGAATAGCACAGAAGACAATTTGAAGACAGACCTAGGCATTTTCATCATCAAATGAATAATAATATAATGAATTAAAACATATACATTCAAGTCTGTATACACTAAACATTCCTGGTCTGAGATCCAGAAACCTAATTTTTTAGTGCCATCAAGATAACTCAGAAAGTTTCAGAGTCTGGGGAACTTTAAACATTGCTCAGCAGTTAAGAGCATTAACTGCTCTTACAGAGGCCCTGGGTTCAGTTCCCAGCACCCACATGGCAGCTAGCAGCCATCTATAACTCCAGTTCCAGGGGATCCAATACCCTCTTCTAACCTCTGAGGTCATTGCATGACATGGGTGCACTTACATACATGCAGGCACCATACTCATATACATAAAATAAAATATTTTTTTAAAAAGTTTCAGAGTTTAGAAATTATTCCAAAAAGTAACAGCAACTAAAAAAACAAACACCCTCTACAATCTGAAATACTGCTGGCCCCAAGAATTTCAGAAAAGAAATAAGCCTATATTAAGGTAACTTCTTGGCTCAGTATACAGATAGTTATTTGTCTCTGTGTTCACATTTATTTGTTATAAACTTGTTTATCAGTGAATTAACAAAGAGAAAGAAGTTAACTTTTACTTAGAGAGGAAAAAAAACACTTGGTAAATATAGGAGTATGGAGTTAAGGAAATTATTTGACAGTCACTGTAAGGATAATTATTTCAGGCAAAAATTGTCAGTGGATGCTTAATGAACTGAATTGAAGTGTGACAGAAACAAAGTATATAGTTCAGAATGAATCCTCATGAAGTATAAAGGGAGCAATAATAATAACCCAGAAACCTGTGGGATGCCACCTTAATTATCTAAATTAACAATACCAGTAATAGATAAGTAGCTATTGTGTACATTCTAAGGAAACACAGAATCAGTTTTTGCCATAAGCAGACATCAGACAGACAACAAATCAAGGGATTCTGTAAGTCTTTTTTTTTAAAATCTCAAGATCATGAAGAACAGACTGAGGAATAGCTCCAAACTGAAGGAAATCAAAGAGACATTACAGCTGTCTTTACACAGATAGTCCTTCTCTACCTCCCCCCCAAGAATTAGAAATATTCTTTTGTAAAAGGAAATAGACTCTTCTGAAGTAGCTGGGTTAGGGGCTTATGCCTACTGTGTACTCTTAAATGTTTTAAAAAAACAATCTTCAAATGGTAAAATGTTACAGTCCTAGGATTTGGGGTGAAAATGACTAGGTATTGTTAATACTACTTTTGGAACTTTTCAGTAATCCTTGACTTTCTTATATTTAAAAATACTTTCTGGGGGCTGGAGAGATGGCTCAGCAGTTATGAACACTGGCTGTTCTTGCAGAAGACCCGGGTTCAAATCCCAGCACCCCATGGTAGCTAACAACTGTCCATATCTCCAGTTCCAGGGGATCCGACAGCCTCTTCTGTCCTCCGTGAGCACTGTACTACACTGGTGCTCTTACCTACATGCAGGTAGTACACGCATACACATACTCAAAGATCCATGTAAATATATTTTCTCTTATGTATCTGTTGAGTACACTCTAGTAAGTATAATTGATGTATTCAGATAGATATGCATGTTAAACGTTATTAGGTAAGTAAGTATTCTTATTATCATCAGCAAGTTGCTAGAGTAACATAAAACACTACAGAATATTTTGATGAATAAGTTAGCTCCTTTATTGGGTTACATCTAAATAACAGGGTGCTAGTAAACTTTGTACAGAAACTCTTTTTGCTTTCCCTAAGCACATACAGCTAGGTACCATCCATTCTACCATGATTTTTCCATCGTTTATCCTTTGTGATTTTCCTTGTTTGGAAAATTTTAGTAGGTTTTAAGAACTACCACTTCTGGCCAAGATGGTGTAACAGAATTAGAATTATTCTTTTTCTCCAGCCTTGAAACAACTATAAAACATGAGAAAATCTGTGAAGCAACAGTTTTCAAGATAATGGACATCAGGCAAGGAAGGACAGTGATTCCAAGGAAATGGGAGACAAATGAGATGAGCCCTGTGATCGCCCCAGCTTTGTGCTGAGAGACACTTTCCAGGCCATGGTATAGGGAAAGGGATCCACTGAAGTGGAATGAAGGGAAGTCAAGAGGCTAGCTTCTGCAAGGAAGAGACCCCAGGAAGAAAGAATGGCACAGAGTTCAGGAATCTGCTGGGGGCTCTCTTCTAGTTGTCAGCTCAGTTATTAATTGCCACACTGAGTGAGGAAACTACCCACAGTTGGGGCACGGGGTGGAAACTACCCAGAAGAATGAAAGGAAAAGTTACTTATGGTTATGAGTTGTGCCTGCTTTCCATGGTCAGGAGTAAAAATCTCATAATTCATAATTCACAGGACATCATAAAAGTTTGACTTCAGTGTAAAATTAGACCCAGAATTACAAATGGTGTTTTGGTTTCATCTAATAGACAAGAAACAAAAATTAAAAGAATTGAACTCTTCGAAGAAACCCAGTTATGTACCAGAACAAAGCTCAGGAATGGAATAAAAACTATGTAGCTCTCTAAAAGCAATGAGAATACATCAGTCATATAAAGAAGCTATAACACATCTGTAATAAGATAAAAAATAACTTATAAATGACAAAAGATGACATTAAAATAACCATTGTTTCCTCACATAAAATTCAACTAAATATTCGAGAAGCTAAAATTTATATTAGATTCTGTGGCTTATACAGCCTCTGGTATAATACAACTTTTTGTAGCATAAAAGCAGTCACAGGCAATGTACGAACGAGTTGGTGTCTGTATACTAGCATACAGTGGGTCTGATTTTCCTAATAGCTATAATTTATAAATCTCTGAGCTAACAGACAGATCAGACAAATTTAATAAAGGCATGGAAGATTCATATTAACTACAAAGCGAGGCCCAAATCAAGTTTTTAAGAGATGAAAACAGTGAAATAAAAAATAATGCTCCTGGCTGGATTATTAGTTCAGAGTGAGTGGACAGATGATTGAACTTGAAGGCATAGCGGTAGAAACTGTCCAGAGTGAGACACATGGAAAACACTTGGGGAAAGGCGTTAGTTTGTGTGCTTTGTTCAGATACCCTTACATGTGCATAAGTAGTCACTGGTGGGGAGGTTACAAATGAAACAGTATATGAAGAAATGGTGCCTGAAAATATTTTGTTGAAAGCTTTGGACTGCTGGTCCAAGCCACTCCATAAATCTTAAGTATAAAACTATATTGAAGCCATCATGATCAAATTGATTAAAACAGTAGTGAAGAGAAAAAGATTTTTTTCAGTGTTTAATTTTTAAAAATTTTTTAATTGAATTTTTGTGTATTTCATACAGAAAATCATCTTTATACCCCCTTCCCCTTTGACACTTCCCCACTGGGGTTCATACATTCTTTCATTTGTATTAAGGCCTATTATGTAAAGTTAGTGTCCTGAGATGTCCCTCGGTGCAAGCTTATCCACCTGGATTTAGTCAGCCTATCTATACTCTCTTTTCAATCTGCTCTTCCTCTCCCAGCAGTAATCAGCTGCCGATAATTCTTTGACTAAGATTGGGGCTTGCTATTCATTTCCACAGTTCTGTGCTAGGTTTTTGTCTTCCTAAGTTTGCATGGGTCTTGTGCATGCTGATACCATTGCTGTAAGTTTGTATGAGATGGTTCCTCCCTGGTGCCTGCCTGTAGGACTATTTCCATATGGTCATGCACCTCCTCCCTGACTCTTACAGTCTCTCCGCTCCCTCTTCTAAAATGGTCCCTGAACCCTGGGTGGGTGGATCTCAATATAGGAGACCTCTCGAATGACCCACACTCTGCCAGCTCTTACAAGAGAAAAATTTTAAAGCAAGAGACAAAAGACAAATTACAAAAGAACAACAGCAAAAGCAGGTTTTTTAAATCTGAAAATTGTGCTA